AGTGTGTTCTATTGTCTGTTTTCTTGGCAATATACACTGTCTAGTAGAAAATGTACACAGTTTGATTTAATCATTTGAAAATGAATTTTTTTAAAAAAAGTGCTATGAATTATCCATGTAATTTAAAAATCATTCTTTCTGGAGTATATACTTGAATAATTGTAAAGAAATGGACTGTATTATATGTGTAGGAAAACATCAGACAATATATGAATTAATTAGAGTATCATACCTGCTTGAATGTTGTATATAAGAAAATGTTTCAGGACACTGTTATTGAAAAACTAGTTTGCAAGAAAGTGAAGTAAGCAAGGCCCTTGAAGACATAAGAAACAACATTTTGCACTTGAAAGCATATCAGCTTAGAGGAACCCTCTATTTTGTGGCCAAAAAATGTAAAAGAACTATAAAAACAAGGGATGTTAAATGTTTGGTCCCTGTTTATGCAGACTAAATGAAAGGGGTACTGGAATTCTACACTTGGAGAGGTTCTGAATTTTGCACTGTGGTTATAAAATAAGCTTAATTTATCTTCCTACAGTTTAAAAATTAATTCCATGAGTGTATAAAATTAGCATAATATGAAACAATATGAAGCAGAACATTTTTATAACTATCATCACCACCTGTCCATCTTGTCCAAAACTGTGACAAAAACTTTGAAAATGCCTTCTTTAAAAAATAAATCCATTAACACTATTATTTTAAGGTCGAAATTAGGTAAACAAGTCTTTGGGAATTGCTTAGATAACCAAAGGAAATAAAAAAGAAACATGACTTTTTAATTCATTTCCTGTATTATATGAATACAGGTATTCTAATGTAAGGGTTTTCCAGGATAATGTCAATTCTTTGATGTACAGTAATATGGACATCATTACCTTTTTGTGTTTGTTTTCTGTCTCTTGATGCACATTCTATTGACATCTTCTCATGTAATCTTACAATTCTCCAAGAAAGTTGATTAACAGAAATCAACAAATGTCTGCCTTTCAAGTAGATTTTGCTTAAAAATAAAAAAATGAGGTTAGCAAATTTGTAGGTGAACTTAGAGAAAAAAATAAAGAGCAATAACTCATTCAAAAGAAGACAGTCCTAGGTCTCCCGCATTTTTATTAATACAAAAAACTTGGAGATATTTATGTAAATATACATACTATTTGTAGTAATAACATTTGTAACAAATAGTAGATATTGCTAAAATATACAAGATAGGTGTAGTGCCCGCTCGTCTTGTCTGTTAGTTACTTTTATCTCTGAATTGGTATATTCTTTATTTTCATCTCTGTTGCCATCATTTTCAATTCATTATTTAAAAAGTAAAATGTAAGATTAATAGTCAAGGTGATTAAAAACTCCTCAGAGGGTGTACTGTTGAAATGTAAGAAAAATTTCCAAGATCCCTAAATAAATGTTTCATTCCAAAAGAGTGAGTAAATCAGCAGGTCAGAAATGTGCCATGGGGAACCAGCAGTTAGCGTAATGGCTATGTCGCTGGACTCCCACATAGTCGACCGCGGTTCATGTACCGGACCCGGTGGCTTAAAACTCACGCCGGGCACATGTGCGTGCGTGCCCAAGATCCCGAGAGGAGAATGGAGGAGAAGGCATTGCGGCGTGACCATCCCCCCTGGGGGGTGATTTCTCCCTTTCTGTCTCTATGTCTCTCTCTGTCTGTCTGGCGAGCGCATGCGCCCTACAGTGAAAATCTCTCAAAAAAAAAAAGTAAAATAAATGTGCCATGATGGCTGGACCATGCAGCGCTCCCTCCCCCAGGCCCATGAAGAGCCAGGGAGCTATATGGTATTTCTCCAGCTCCAATCAGCAGTATCTAACCTGTTTTGCTGTAGGACAAATGTAATATTAAATAACAGTAATTTCTGAGTCTAATAAATTTTGACAATGAGAGTAATCCCCTTGAAAACTTTCAATAAGAAATTGCCATATTGCAAACTTACCAGCTACACTATTTTAACAAGGAAAAGAATTTAGTGCAGATTGCTACTAAAATTTTTCTTGGTGGTAATAGAGCTTATTCTAGCAATATCTCTATGTAAGCTAGGTAGTAAATTAGATCCTTCGACTCTATCTGCTCTATCAGATTTGAAACAGAGGAAATGACCGCCTATGAGCTGCTCAGATTTCCAGGAGCGTTTTCATTCAATTTAACTGGGCAATCTTGAATGATCACAGCCCACATACAT